TGACATTGTGATTGAGACAATCTTAGCCCTCCATTCAGAATGGACGGTTTGATAAGGGGATGATAGAACTTCTATGCTGTAGGGGAAGCATGGAAAGCTTGCCTTTTAAATATATGGGTGCGATTTCTATAAGGTTGCAACCTTAAACAATCCAATTAAGGCCAACCTCCAAATTTTATCATAATTATAAAATTTTAGACTCAAAAAATGTCCAAAATCAAGTAGATCTATAAACATAAAAAAACCCTGAAATTGGACGGTCTAGATAATGTGTTGCAAGATGCACTATTTCTAGGACTCAAAATCTTTCTTTTTTGATATTCATATATATCAATGTCGAGATGACATCGATGATCAATTAGAGGGTTGAAAAACATGAAAACAACATTTTCTAATGGATTTTTGAGGTGCATATGTAATTCTACATTTTAAAGTTGCAACCTTATATAAATTGTTTCCTAAATATATAGATATTTAGATTTTTGGTTTGGTCTGGATCTAGGTCTCACATTATATTTTCAGGTCTAGCAACTCTGGACGGTCCAGTTTGGGCATGGATCCCATAGTATATTTTTGGATTCAGGTCCAGGCCGGACCCGTTGCCGCCCCTACCCTAGCTTCTTGGATCATGAACTTTCCTGAATTCACTGTTTCACAATAGAAAGAGAAGTAGATTTATAAGAGTCAAATCACTCAACAATGACAACAACAGCCTAAAAAAAAAAAAGAAGAAAATTTTATAAGAATCAAGATTTACTCAATCGTTTTGGAACTCAGTCTTAATATCATTGTCATTCTTAAAGTGATCTCACATTATGGTTCATCATACACAATAAATGGCCTTTTGGGTCTGGTGGCCCATTGTCATGTGGTGGAACGCTTTTTGCCTCAGCCATGAGTTTTGGACCCAAATCCATGCTTCCCTACATAGGAGACAAAAAGAAAAGTAAAATGTGAGAGTTTCATTTATGTTTTTCTTAATCACAAAGTTTTCCTCAAAAGCTGGATTTCAAGAACTTTTTATTTGTGCATTTTATTCAAGAGAAAGAATTTTTTTTTTTTGAGAAAATTATCTTTTTAATTTTTCTGTTTTGATTAGTTTTTTAATAATGATTTTTAGTTAATTTTAAAAATTACATACAGGTCATGAAATATAAATTTTAGCTTATCTAGATAGTACTTTAGTGTTGGTCGTAGGCAAGGTCCAATTACTCTGCGCAAGCTCAGGACTTGGGCCCTTGCCGAAACAAGTAACTCTGCAGATTTGCTTGAGTAGTTTACAAGCCCAAAAGAGGGCTAAGGACTAAAAGAATGAAAAGATTTATTAAAATGAAAAGCAAACTAAACTAAAAACACCATTAAAATCCATATAAGACAGAAAAAAATATGTGGATGAATGGAATTTTAAGAAAATTGGTTTATAGTTGGACAAATGAAAGAGAAATCCAAAAAAAGGGGAAAAAGGAAAAACATAACATATGATACAAGAAACTCTAAAATCATCATAAACAACGTAAAAATCGTTCATAAAATATTTATAAATTGATTTAGTAGAAAAGCATAGTTTTTATATACTTCTTAATATTTTTTATATAACTAGATTTGTACATGGGAACTTGGATTGCAAGGTGTTGTGTCCAAGTAACTCGACCGAGTTTTAAAGGCATTGTTGGAGGGAAGATTTGGCAACGTTAGGTTAACATCTCCACATTTATAAAGAAAAAAATTGCAGATAGGTTAGTCGACGAGTGGTTCACATAACAAAGGTGT